ATTGTAAAAAACTGAAGTTTTGAGCTGAAGCCCTCCCAGCCGATGTGGCTGAGTCGGCGTGCTTCCAGTGCACTTTTTCTCATAAGAACCAGATTCAGGCGTTTTGTAGGCGTTCTACTGTTTTGATGCGTGTGCTACACTCCCGTCTGTGTCTTAGATTGTGCATTTACTGGCATATCCGTAAAAATGCTGCTGAGATGAAGCGGGTTGTTGCGCCATGTTGGTCAGTGCCATGTCCTGGGACCAGTTGGGGGAACGGTGTGGAGGGAAGGAGGTGCGGGACGAGCAGGCATGGAGTGGTGATTCCTTTCTATGCAGGTTTATTGCTGTCCTTTGTAATTAATCGGCACGATGATGGTGGCAGCGAAAATGTCCCCTGTTCTCGTCCTGTAACCTTCATTTCTATCCCTGTTCCTCTCACAAAATAGCACACTCCGTAATGACCAGATCCTGCGAGATGGTCACCTTGAAAGCAGTCCTCGGGATGAGGTAAATGCTTCCATTCCTCTGTGCCTCTCTTTACCTGACAGTGATCGTTATTTGCGCTTTCTTCGTCGTCAACCATTGCCAGAATCTTTCGTAATCTGAAATGGGTTTCGTAGTCTCGTGAGCTGCTTGTTCCAGCGCCGCGTCTTGTATTCTCTTTCGATTTTTTTACTTCGTTTCAGCTATTCCGTAGGTGCAGATTTTTCCAGAAACATTTCTTAGCACAAAGAAGTTGAGGTAGTTCTTTCCAGTGTTCCCGAATCTCCACCCAAAAAAGGGCTCCGAATACTAAGACTGCCTGGTCAGTGAGACACATGTTATTGCTATTGGGGTGCTCTCACACGTTAGTCGTAGCCGTGCCAGACCGTTTGTTACCTAAGACTTTTTCGAAGTCTATCATTTGGAGGCAAAGTGAGCAATGTCTGTCGCATTCTGCTTCCTCACATGGTTAAATGGTGCGGATTTGACGGAGGTTCTAATTGCATGGCCACAGGACGACGCTCCAGTTCTCTTTTGACACAGCCGCTAAACTTGTTCTCTTTAACCGGTCACTGGTCCTACTGCACGGCACCCCGCATTGCCTGTGTAGCAGTTTCGGCTTTCCCGTGTTTAATGATCACTTCGTTTACTCGAAATACACCACATTACTGTTCCAGTTGGCAGTTTGAGTTGTCTGCTTAAGTTCTTCGGTTGTGTTACTGACGGCAGCGCGCGAGAAAGCCAAACAGTGCGGACAAGGGGAGCAGCGGGGCTCAACTTAATACTCGTCCCTCGGATCAGATTACAAATGCACAAGCGACTAACGATATATCATATTATTTCAGCAGTGTGTTGCTTGGTTATTCAGAGAATTTGCTTGTGCTTTCATTAAACTCTCCATCAGAGCTGTTGCCAGGCAGTGGATTTTAATTCAATTCTGCTGGTTGGATTTTTTGCACCGGCGGCCCTCAGCACTGCTTAACTTTCTCAAATTTGCTTGTTTGGAAAAACGGGGTCATTAAGCACTTAGCAACTAGTGTCCGTCGCCCCATAAAATGTTACAGCTTACGCTCTCTACCGAACAGTGCAAGAAACAAACATCTGAGGGACCGTAAGAAACTTTGTTTAACTATATCGGTCTTGTATCAGTTTGTCTGAGCTACACTGATAGGAGTTCCATGTGTTTAACTTGAATGGTCTTTGCTGGAAAAAACAGTAAAAAAAAAAGAATGGATCGGAGTCATAGGCTTAATCATTGGCTATCTGCTAATATTTAAGATTTCCCTCAGAACTCGCAGTGACTCGAATCGCAATTTTACTGTGATTTCGTATGATTTTGCATTGGAATTTTTAAAATCCTATTTTTCCGGGCTTCTGAAAGCTTGTTCTGTTGTCTGCTTAGAGGATCAGTGACTTTCTTCTTGGAAGCAACTGTTTGGACAAAAATTGCACTTACCTGGTGTTGTAACCACGTATTAGTTACGAACTTTAGAGCAAATGAAAAAACTGCTCATTTTTATCGCAGTTTAGCTTATTAATTCGAGCGCTGCATATTCCGTTGATTTCCGCGATTGGAATGTTTCGTGTACTTAAGTGACTTTGCCGTTATGTACTTCCGCGCATAAAGCTCATCTTCTGCACCTCATATGCTATTTAATAAAAAGTATCGTTAATTCCAGGGCAGAGCATAATGTTTAGAACCCTATCAGAATCTCTTTACATTACTGATAAAAACTTGATGCCACAAGCATCTAATAATACGGATGCTGTACAACAACGGTACGTTCACGGATACGCATTTGTTGACACAACCTAACTCGTCGCACTTAACTTCACATATCTGAAATGCTTTCGAGAAATGACGGAAAATTACATTGCTCACATGACTATCACAGAAACACACTTGAGTTTTCTGGTGCGGGTCGAGGCTCCATTTTCCCAAAGCACTCATGGCTGTTATCTTGCTTATCAGAATGCAGTTTTTTTACGGCGCTATGTGCTGTTGTGCCAATTCATCGTCGTTTTGTCGATAGCAGCCGTCTTTTGAATACTATCGTCCTTCGTATTACACAACATGCCATTTCTTTTGCTTCTAGTCCTCACATGAAATTTTCTTCTCGCTAAGTGCTTCGCGTAATTACTTTTTTCTCAGTGATTTGTCCCCTTGAGTTCTTTTCATATCTGCTGCCAGATGGGCAACGGCATCAATGCCTCTTCCCAATGACTTTCAGTTTCACTTTTGCTGTTGTTTCTCGAAAAATTTTCTTAGTAATGCAGTTCTTCCAGAGTAGTTAATGACGAAAGTACCTTACTTCAGCATTTTTAACACTTTTGGCATTTTAGTAATATGTAACTATGAAAAATCATGCAAGTATTATGTGCCGAGCAGCTTATCGATTGAATTTTTGATAAAAAATCTAGGCTGGAACTCAGCAGGCCTGTCGGCACGATTATGCGTCCTTGCACCAAACTTGAAGTGATCAGGTCGTTAACTACATTAATGGTTGTTGTTTTACACTTACCTTGAACGCTCACTACCGTAAAAAACCGTTGCATGAAGGTAATAGTCGTTCTTTAATAATGACCTAGCTGTCCAGTGAGCAGTTCTCCTGCCAAAACTTTTAATTACCACGCGTACCTGCAGGCTGAATTTGAAATCTTTAAGTTATACCTGGACAGGAAACATGCCGTTAAAATTTCAGCTTCTCAGCTTTGCTGGTTCTCAGGACAGCAGTTTTCTCACTAAAACTTCCACGTGCCCGTACGCAAGTACCACTCGTGCCTGAGGGCTGAATTTGAAATCTTTAAGTTGTACATGGGAAAAGAACAACCCTTTAAAATTGCAGCCTCGCTGCTCTTCTGATTCCGGAATTAGCAACTTTTCCGCCAAAACTTTCACGTGCTTGTATGCGGGGCTGAGATGTGCGTGAAGGTTGGTACCGTGGCCCTGGGGTGGCATTTGACTGGGGAACCCACTGGCAAAATTCCAGCACAGAAGCCTGCTTGGCTGACGAATTGAAATACTCGGACAGACACACGCACATACACAAACATACACACATGCCTACACCATGGGTCGTCACAGTACGCGTTTTTGCATTTTCATATATGCTAAAACGCATAATTAGCAACTGAAATGGACATATGCTTGCGCTCGAGAATTTGATTATGAAACCTTTATATTGCTTCTCAGCCAAAAGTCTGCTGCAGCTAAGTCCAGTTAGCTTTTTCCGCTTTCTTTGAAAATGTTTTCCAGAAATTTTAAACAGCACATTTATTCTGCAATAACACTAAAGGATTTCATGTGCTTATTTTCGCAAACAACATGATGAACAACAACAGAAAATTCGCAAGTGTTTTAGAGATTCTGCTTGGGTCCACAGGAATGGGGACCCTTTTGGTTCAAATTTCTGATTTTTGATTTGGCTAATCGCGGCTGCTTGTGCCTGATATATTGTGATGTTTGACATTGTTGTCGTTGTTATAATAATGAGTTTTAGCTGTTTTAATATTTTTTGAATATGCATAAGCATTTCAGATGTCACACCAGCCGATCCGCGTTGCCCAGCCGCCGACACAAACGCAGTCGCGTTCACAAGCTGCGAAAAGCTATCAGAGGTCGCTTTTTGCACTGTTAATCTCAAATTTTGACCGGCAATTCACATAGTATCAGTAAACTGTATAATTAAAAATCGTCTGCTTTTTCTTTTTCACTGATCCAAATCACCTTTTCCTCGCTCTTTTTTCCCATTCCTCAGTTTTAATGAAGTGTTAATTTTTAGCTTATTTCTTTTTTCAGTTCTAGTTCTACGAAATACGACAACTTGATTCGAGTTGCTGAGCAGCAGCGCTGTTTAATTGACGCTAATCGACGCACAATTCAGTTGTGGGAGGCACGTGGCAATCGTGTCGACAATGCGCCTATACGCCTTGCTGTCTTAAGAAATGAGGTTAGACGATTACAACTTATTGTGTGCTTCATATGAATACAAACTAGCGAATTTTCTGACCTTATCCTTGTTAATTTTGGACGGAAAATGGATGTTACTGGAGAAACTCCTAACATTACACTCAGTAGCTCTATTTCAACAAATTCAAAGAGAATAAGGAGATGGCGCAGCGATTCTGTAGCAGTATAGCCATTTTTAAAGCTGAATAGATGACCTGGCTTGAGATCCGTTTTTGAGAGAGGACAAATTTTTCGCAGTTCCTTGATTTACTTGAGCTGCAATTTGCAAACCTTCACGTTAGCGAAATAGATGTTACTTTGACCGAATGTTACATGCAGTGTCCAAAAAAGGGTATCATCAGCAGTTCTTCAAACTTCGCTGGCAAAAGCATCATCACTGTTCCTCAGGCAAATTACTTCGAGTTTTACTATATGATTCCGAACGGTAGAAAGTGGAAAAATTTGAATTTAGTTCTTAAAGTTGATTTTTCCGCAGGCTTCAGTATGCTCAGAAGGCCAGCTTTCTGCAGCTTAGATTTTTCTTCCGCTTTTTTACTCATTCCCTCTGATCTCCGTATGAAAACAGTAATACCTAATCTTCACACAGGTTTTTTCCTGGCGATCTTGATAATGTATCTGAACTACACTTCTGCTGGGACTGACAACCGCGTTAGATTGCCACCATATCCTCTTTATTTCCAGTCCTACAACATGACAACTAAAATACAATTGCAACTCCCTGCCTCTTCGTTTTAGTCATAGTTCCAGTTATACTGCTGAAATGGAGTGTATACGACCCAGTGAACCGAAATACATTCCTTTCAGATTAATTTACATTTATACTATCTACTTTTATTTTTTCCCTTAAATTAGACATCTTTCTTATATGTAATACCTTATATTTCCCTTTACCGATTGCTCAAAAACCGCACTTTATTGTTATAACTGCCATAAGTTTGCTGGAATATCAGCTTTACTGTATAGAACTGCAACCGAGAGAGAAACAGCGCGTTGTTTCCTGACAGGAAAAACATTGTTTTTAACCTTAGTGATCTCTCAGTGAAGCTCTAATATTATGATGCCTAACATTTTTTCTTTAGCTTTTTTTCCGCCTTCCAATCCTTTTCCATTCCAGGTTTTGTATGAAGAGCGAGAAATGGCTCGTTTGAAAATGATGGAACGTGAAGCGAAGGAAACAGCGTCACGTAGAGTGGTAGCTGAAAAGCAGCTCAGCGAAATGCAAGCAAATTACACCTGGCAAGAGCAACATTTGAGGAGCGTCATCTCTAAAATTACTTCCTTACAAGCACAGGTATGATTCGAATCAAATGTCCGCAGTTTAAAAACAGTAGTTGGCAAAAATGAATCACCGGGAATGGTTTGGTGCTTTTTTTGATTAACTTTAAGCGGTATTGAGCTTGATTCTCAGTAATCTCTGGAAGGCGTAATGGTCGACAACCTTGCTAGCGAGTGAATCTTTGCTTATGGTGAAAGTGATTTTTATGCGTTTTTGGTGTGCAGCGCTGTAGGGCTGATGCAGTGAGAAAAGACGCATGTTGTCAAGAGGTTGCGATTTGCGTATGTGTATTTGTGTATGTGTCTATGTGTATGTGTGTATGTGTATGCGCGAGTGAACTTTGTTACCCACTTTCAACTCAACAACCAAGAAAGCTGGGAGGCTGAAGTTTTGAGAACCTCTTCCCAGCATAGGTATCACCTCAAAATCTGAAATCATCGCTTACATGCGTCTGGGCCTGAATTGTGGACGCAGAATATTGATGCTGTAACTTTGACGCAAAAACGCATGATCGCATTGATAAGCCCAGTGTGTTGCAACGCCTGGATTCACTGTTGGAGCTGATTTTTATTGAATTGCAGTTGGAAGCGCTACATCGCCGCCGGCAAGTAGCACTAAATGCAGCCCGCGATCAGCAGCTATTGATCAGTCCAAAATGTGTTCGTTTCTCACATTTATTTCATCCACATTTCTAAATAAGTTCGGCACTTATCGCTTTAACTTCTCGCCAGAACGACTGTTCTTCAAGAAAATTTGCTAGGACGCATGGTCGCAGACTGTAAAAATACGCATTGAGCTTGTTTCTTACCCAAATTTTGTAACTTCCTCTTAATGAGCTGTTGTAAAAGGTGAAGAGTTTTTTTATTTGAGAAAATTCTTTTTGATTTTCTTTGCAGAAATGCACGAAAACATCAGGTTACAGGTAACATGCCCTCACCTGTACC